GTCAAGTCTTCCAAAGCTTGCATGTCTCCCTTGAAAATTGAAAAGAAAACATTTGAAGTTCTAAAAGCAACCATGTTTCCATCAATATTACATTCCAGAATAATAGACCAACAGCATATAAGCATAGACTAACTCCAACTTGCCCCACTTAGCCTCTTTCTAAGTTCATCATTCAGTGAGTTGCCTTTTCTACTTGTTTCCAAATATACAACTATGAGTTGGTAATAATGCGTATGGTAGATACAATAATAAAACCATTTTCTCTCCATCTTTCTTTTTTCTATTTTGGGTAATAATTATTGAATAATGATAAAAAAAAATAAAAAAAATGAGACGATTTCATAGGAGGATTTCGAATTGGCTTACTACATCAGTAATATATTAATAAAATAAAATTCACATTTGTCTTACTTTTTTTTTCACATTCTTTTTATATATTCCATAAATTCATCTCATTTTTTCATCCTATGTATAATTACCCATAATTATTTATGCAACTTGGGCATTGCCTTCTCTTCAGTACTTAACTCTACCAATCACATAATTTATGTCAGTTATTCATTTCAGGGGCAATTATACAGATAATTAGTAAATGATCCCCCAAAATATCATTTCATAGTACTCTAAGTGCCTCCGATGGTAACTTCATAAGTTGACAGAAAAACAATTGCAGAATGATTCGAGATTATGCTATAAACTTTCTAGATACTTCAGACTAAAAGAGAATCCATAAAAGGCTAATCCATACCTTCATCACCTTACAAATTAGAATCTCCATAAGCTTCGGTACGTAAAGATGATTACTAAGGTGTCCTCTCAAAATATCTGAGGCTATTGGGCTTCCACCATATGGACTCTGAGCTAATGCCAAACCAGCAACTTTATCTTTCAATTCAGACCAATAAATAGATAAAGCAGCAGCTGAATCTACTCCTCCTTTGCTATGTCCAAGAAGTAAAACACGTTTCTTTGAACCCTGATAAATTTCCTCGATGCACTCTTTTATCTCTTTCGCATTTTTCTCAACTGAAGCCTGATTAGTAATGTGCTCAATGTTCGGTATAATAAGTAGACAAAACGCATAATGCAAGTTAAAGATTAGCCAAAGGTACCTCACTGTGAATTTTAGCAATATGACAGGTCAAACCCATATTTGAGAAGCTTGTTTGAATACTGACAAAGTAAAGAGGCCCATGGTTGCTGAACAGACCTGCCATATCAAACTAGCCAAAGGTGAATAAAGAGAAGAAATTTTTCATGAAAGTCCTATCTCTTAACCGACAATCAGAGAAATTATAACACGTCATTATTTAGTCAAAGGTCTCACACTTTCTGTGTTATCTATGAATAAAACTCCAACGCCACATGTCATTATTAAAAATGCCAAATTCAGGGTCAAGGTTTGATTTTAGATTCAAAATTCAACTCCACTCTTGATTCATGCTAAGACTCTCACATGCAACATAAGTTTCCATAACAAATTCGAGTTTTGTTTGCAAAAATAAAACCTTAATATATACCTATTAACATATATAGATATGTCAGAGAAAAGAAAGGAAGGAAGACAAGTTTCAGGAATTGAAAACTACAAACTCCATGCTCACAAATATATACTAAAAAACTTGGGTAACTCTTGTTCAGTGCTGTTTGGATTTAGGATTAGACAGATTAACCTTAAAAATCCTGGTAATGATTTTTTTTTTTCACTTCTCTAGCCAAAAGGATCCACCCAATATCCAAGATTCTCAAGGGAAAGATGATATACCAGTAAAGTTGTTAAAGTAGGTTTGGTATATAATAGAAAAGTTAGACAAAAAAATATACAAAGTTAAGACCCAAATACGCATGAATCATTAGACTGATATCCAATGTGCATCATATCTTGATCTTTTGAAGCACCTGAGCTTCTAGCTCAATTGATAAGATGCATGTTTCCCACCCTTGAGAAATTAGTTCCAATCTCCCCTCCCTCAGTTTTTTTTTTTTTAATAAAAAAAAAAAGAAGTAAATAATTAGTTCTTTTGTTTCACAAAGATACCTGGAACTAATAAATAGACCATCGAGTTTGGTAGTCTGGACCGCTGACCATCCCTGACAAAGAAAAAAACCATGTGAATAACTTATAACTCTACAATCATACCATGCAGACATATAAAACTCAATGATGCAGAAGATGCAGAGAAGCCCATTTTACCTGACGTTATTGAGAATTTCCATAAACCTTTCAGTTCCATCTTCTGGAGGCATCTCTGGATCACACTGCAGCCATCCTATATCATCTGCAGATCCCCGAACAGTCCTTTGTGTTCGTTCAATAAGCCCGAGGACAAACATTGGAATTTTAGAGAAGTCCATGGCCAAGTTAAGAAGCTTCAACTAAGATTGCTTCTGCATATTTAAGCAAGCACATTTGTGAGTAAAGATCACAAAAAGGCACGAAACACAAATCAGAGGAAAAGAATATCTATTCTTTATCTTTCTTCAAGGAATCATAACTGTTGGAACAAATTGTTTGAGATTTTAGTTAACCCACAAGATTAAGAAATTAACGGAATAAAAAAATACACCACCATAAGAAAGACATAATTTACGTGGTTCAGCTCTAATTTAATTGAGTCTATGTCCACGGGTACTCACAAGAAAAAATTCACCATTAAAATAAGGAGATACAATTTGTGGTACTCTTAGAAAAATATCTAATCCTCAATTACACCCAAATTTTACTCACAATATTTTTTAAATGCGAGACACATTCAAAAAACACTCAATAAAATAATTTTAACCACTCTGCTGTTGCTCATGCTCTTGCTCACCCTCATCAAAAGCACCCACAAAACTCTTATATTTTCTATAGCTCACTTTGCTTTGGATTGCTCTTCTTGGTGTCTTTGCCGAATGGCCAAATGGCCTTTTATAGCCAAATGCCAACCACCCACAATGAATGCAATGGGCTCCAAAGTCATAATCCAACCATGCACAATAAATGTTGCATGGACAAAATTGCAGCAACCAAATTTCCATTTCAAAGGCTGCCATGAGACTTCCAATTTTTCAACAAAATTGGGCTGCCATGAGATTTCCTTGCAACCAAATTTCAAAGGCTGAAATTTGCATGCTTTTTTCAACCAACATGCAGAACCCAGATGCCGCAACAATAACTTATAAAAGGCATCCATTCTTAAGCACGGAGGGGAAGAATACCCTTGAAAAAGAGTAATCCCATTTTGTGGGGTTATGATTTGATGGTATTATTGCCTGGTATTTTCAGATATACTTTCAGTATAAGTCCTTGTGATCTCATCATGGGTAGGAGGCACGGCAGTTACAGAAGTAGAGCATTTAGAAAAGGTTGAGACATTTCCACTTGAAGACTG